GGGGGGGGGGAGGGGGGGGTGGGGGTGTTAGACATTGATCTACCAATCTTTAGTCCCCAGCAAGCTCTCAAGCCAGTCCCTTTGCTTCGCAAAGCAAACTCAAGGTAGTCCTTACCAGGCTACCTTTCGTGATGTGTCACAAACCTGAGCTTCGATTTCACTATCACCTGAGCTCTCCGAAAAGGGGCCCTTCACGAAGCCGAGCAGCCGGTCGAACTGGGACGTACTCAGTTGAGAGCTTGGATTCCTGGTGCTTCAGACACGGACTGCCATGGGCATCCAGAAGACATGTACACATCCAGAAAGCAACTTCCGTATCTACCAACATTCGTCCATGGCAGGTGAAAACATGTGAAAACATGTGAAACCTGCAACCAACTTTCTTGGAAAAGTCATCATGAATCAAAGGTATAGGCCGGTGATGCCCGAAACAGTGATACTTTCAGGATCTTTGCATACTTCACACAGCCCATCTGGGTGGTTTGTCCCTGACCCTGGGTTTCTAATTCTTGACTGCCCGCAGCTTGACACGCAAGGGCAAGGCACTACCACAATCTACCACACCAGCCCCACCTCTATTCAGGCCTCTGACCCACGTCTCACCATTTGCAACTTCATAGCCATCGAGGATCGTCGAGAAACGACTTGACATGGGGACCAAGGAGCAAAAAGAAGACAAGTAAATTACACAAAAATCAAAGCTTGTCCATGCTCGCCAAGGTTACCAACTTGAGGACAAAGGGGTGAAGGAATGCTAGATGTTGCCCTCGCTTTCGGGTGGCGAGATGTCCGAAGCCAAAAAAGAATGTATACGATGATCGCGACTGGATGGGATGGGAGGAGTACAAGCGATCACGTACAGGATGATTTTAAGCAAAACCATACCCAATGCATTGACGACGAGTTTGAACTTTGGACGTGTGGACTTGCAGTTGCCATAGGTTGATACCGCGCTGAACTCAAACGAGGTGAAGCCACATGAGAAACCACAAAGAAACAAAGAAACAATCGTCTAAAGTCTGAAGGAGAAAAGGGGGGAGTATGGAGGGCATGCGATGTCTGCCTCCCATGCCAAGCCACCCCATGTCAAGCCAATCCGACCGTCCAACTGACCGGAGTCCTCGTCCAAAGCCGCTTCAGCGCTTTCTGCCCGTTCGTGAGCTCTGACTTGAAGCGCTCGCGGCCTCCGGAGCCCACGGCTTCTTGGGCCTGCCGATTCCGCTCTCCCATGCGCGCCATGGGGGGGAAGGTGAACACTAACGCTCGACACCCTGGAAGAGACCCACATGGAACCCGAAAACCTTTTTGGGCTCCAGTAGCTCTAGAGGACAGAACCCATGTGAATCGTCGCGGGTGCATCCTCTGAGCCATGTGGAACCATGTGGAGCCCATGGCTGGTTCGTGTCTGCCCTCGCTAATCACATCCATTTCAACCGGCCAACAGGCCGTGGATCGCCGGCAAAAACGAAGTGCCTTCATTGATAGCTCCATCAAGTGAGCACTGAGGCGCAATGTGGGATGCGAGGCTTGGTCCTGGCGAGCGGTCGGTCCTCGAGAAATCGGTCGACCAGCGGGAGAGGTCACAAGAGCTCGGAACGCTGGGATGCGAGCCACGCGGTTCCGAGCGTTCCTCTTTCTGGGACGCAAGGCGCGAAGCTGCGATGTTGACCAAGGAGGTTGTTCTAGGGCTGCTGTTCCAAGATGCGGGCACAAACATCCAGGAAGCTATATACTCTATATATATATATATATATCTACCGTTTGATGCGTGAGTTCTCAAACATCCCTGTGTCTTTTCAAATTGAGTGCATGGCAATGCCCTCCTCCTTCTCCACCTCGGCACCTTCTTCCAGCACCAATGCTCCCACGCTTTTCTCTTCCGGATGCTCCTCGCAATTGGAAGGGCCAAGTAGTGTGCAATGCAAAAACGTGTTCAAATCAGCCTCTGTCCATCTCGCGCAATGGCGGTGCCGAGTGTTGACCACCCTGGAAAGAAACAATAAAACCTGAGCAAATCTGGTTGGTGTCCTGCAACTGTGTCAACATTGGCAGAGGCATAGCTCCCTATCAACACGCTCTCCTTCGATCTTCTAGGTGGCACCTGATTTTTGAATGGACTATACACCAGTACTTCTGGAAAGCTCGTCCTAAAGCTGCATGTGCGCAAGCACACTTTCAGGATGCTAAATCCAGACTGGCCACAGTTGTATTGCTGAGGCTGTTCATCCTTTCCAAGAGGTCCACCCAACCTGTTCCTGTTCGGATGGACAATCCGCTTGTGATCACCGAAACCACCACAACTTGGACTTGCACACCAACCTATAGACCTAGAAAGCCTATAAAAGTCTCACGGAGTCTCGCTGGCGAACGTCCTACAGATCCAAACTTTGGCAGTCTGATGAGGCCTTGAATCAACCCATGTCAATGTGAACCACTGCCCACCTGAGGCCACTTCAGGGTCAGCGCTTGGTCATGGAGCACCCAACCCTCCAAGGCCTCTGGCTTGGCCTGGCAGCGAGAGACCAGGCTGCAACATGGATTCCGGAGTTTGATTTTTTGATGATCTGGAGAGGATACAAAAAAGGATCCACGGCAGTTTCCGCAAAACAACACCTAATGGATGTTGTTGTGAAAAAGCTAGGAAGAGCCCCGGCTACCAGCGTGCAAATATATACAGTTGTTGCAAAAGCATCATGTATGACCTTGAGTCTTGTAACTTGTATGCTGGATTCCCTCCAAGACAACGCTCATGGGGTCACCACACAAGCGCACCTTGCTGTCATCACCATTGAGGTGGTGGAGACTCGCAAGCTCCTGCAAGTGCCTGCAAGCTTGTGCCAGGAATTCGTGCAAAATTACTCACCACTAGCGACACCAGTGTCGCGGTGAGGGTTGTTCGTCGCATTCGGACACTAAACTGTTGTATTCGGAACTGGTATTCAGAAACTACAACGTGGTATGGGGAAACTTGCATTCGGAAACTGGGACGGTGGTATTCGGAAACTGGACGGTTGTGTTCGGAAACTGGAAGGTTATATTCGGAAACTTGCATTCGGAAACTAAACAGTTGTATGCTGCATGCGGAAACTGGAGAACACATCAACTTTCCACGCAACTACCCACCTAAGTTTATTGCCCCCTCCCCCCACTCCACCCCTTCATCCTAGACAACACATCAGCTGTCCACGCAAGCAAACACACGAACATAGCTTCTGAATACGACGACAATAGTTTCTGAATACAATGAAACTATTTTCCGAATCCCACAGTTTCTGAATACAACGAAATAGTTTCTGAATACGACTTTGTTCTTGTTCGTCCTGGCGTGCGTTTTTTCTGTCCTCACCGCGCTCGTTTTGTGAGATCGGCCCGTGCCTTGTGAGATCGGCCTCAACTCCCTTCAGCAAACTTTGGACCTGAAAGGCATGCAGCCCGGTCCGCACGCAGCCCGTCGTTTCTGAGCACCAGTCCATCGGTCTAGGGTCAACATGGCAGGGAAGAGAGTCATCAAGAAACAGGGGAAAGCATCTGAGGAGCAAAGATTCTGACCCAACAGTTGTCTCCCTACAGATTTTCTTGTAGGTGTGTGTGTGTGTGATATGCATGCATTATAGGCCAGGAGCTACTAGTAGCGTCCTTGCTCCTAGTAGCGATGCCCTTTGTTACTAGTAGCTTCTTGTTACTAGTCAGTAGTCAAGAGAAGTCAACGCATGCGGCGTTGTAATTTTTGAACGCCCAACTCGTGCCAATGTCTTGACTTGACCACCTTGAGTAGGCAATGTGTCGAAGGTAAGGCCCGGTAAGGCTCTTTTGCCTCAATAGCACCTTGCCACGTAGAAATGACCCGGCCTGTTCCTGCAAGGATTCGATCGTTTTCTGTAGCTGGGCATCAGCTTCCGAGAAGCCTCGGCAAGACACAGGGCAGTGTTGGGAGTAGCTGGGTTCGATGGAAATTGAATCAATCAAAACATGCGTAGCAAACATCGGTCTACCGTAGAACCCTTCAAGCATTGCAGATTCCTTCACAAGTTCTGTCCTACTTCATAAACATCAACTCCTGCAGTTACTCACTGTACAGCCTGTGTCTCGGCATCTTGGCGACCCCTACGCTCAGATAGGGCCGAATTCAACTTTCCGGCATCCATGGCTCGTTTCGCCGTCCCCTTTGGGGGGGCCCATCCACCTGTCGGATCGCTAAACCCCGCTTTTTCACGAGAACTCGGTGGCTCCAACTGACTGACTGGGCTGGTGCGCTCAAACGATAGAGCCGAAGGGACAATGAAATGCTAACAGTTTTGAAGGTAGAACATTGTAGACATCATCGAAGGATATGACTCCAACACTCTAACAGCGACTGTTGCAAGGCAGTGCCACCTACAAGAAAGGCAGTGCTGGTCTCAATCCGATCCGGGCCACAGCTGGAGCCGGAACGGACACACATGCAGCAAAGGAATTAAGCCAATGGACCATGAAGAAAGCACCATCCTGTCTGCCGACCCTCGTTGATTGAACATGTTTAGTTGAAAATGATGACCTCCGCGGTCTTGATCTGCACGATCAAAGGCAAAGGCAAAAACATGAGTTCATCTGTTGCAACAGCCGGTCAGGGGCACTTGCGCACATTGCCCTCTGCTGACCAAGGGACATCCTGAAAGGGGCAGGACCCTCAAATCCCACGCAAAGGGCGAGAATTGATCAAAATTATCCAGGAACTCGCTCTCTTTTCACCTCCAAGTTGGCATGTTCTCTAGCTTCATCACACCGCCTCTCTGAGGGGTGGCCAGGGTGGGAGAAGCTTGAGAAGGAGGTGGCATCAAATCGTTCCTAGTCATTCAGGAACTCGCTCTCTTTTCACCTCCAAGTTGGCATGTTCTCTAGCCAGAATGAACTGGCGCTGTACTCATACCATCTAAACCATTTCTTCCCACTCTCAAGCTATCAGAAGAGGCGGGGGCAAAACACAGCAGGCATCGAGGTCTCCAAAAGGAAGATGCTTTCCACGTAATCAGATTGAATGAAGCGGAAAGCTGGGAAATCCTAGCAAATGCTACAGGTGACATGCGGTTGAGGAAGGTGGCAGCACTAACCTCCTGCAAGTTAACCACCAAAACACAAGTAGATGGCCACCTTCCTCGCCGCGTCACCAGTTCGGTGTCCTCGAACCGCTGTACCGAAAAGATCGCGCATCCATGGCGCAAAGAGGCCAGGTCAAAAAAATGCCTGGGAAATGCCTGCCCCCGAGCTTCTCCAAAGGAAGCTCTAAGGCCTTCTGGAGCATTTGGAGTCTCCTACGCAGCATCTGGCTTGACAGTAGCCACAGTTTGCTCTCTCTTTCGAGCCTTGCAAAAGTCGCCAACAGCAGAGCCACCACGTCTGTAGGGTCTAACGCTGCGTCTTGGGGTAGCATCAGGTCCTTCCTAAAAGCAGCTAGGACCTCATCGATCCTAAAGGTACCTGTCCCGGTCATCAGCAGCAAGGAGGCCTTGACGGGGCGACCCCATAGAAGAGCTAGTCCGGAAAGTGCTAGGGCTACCGCCAGTGACATGGTAGGGCGGCGGGCATGTGGTTCAACGGTAACCCATGCGAAGGCTAGGTCCCAGGCCCCTACCAGCAAACTTTCCAGCATCGGCCGTTTGGCCACTACAGCGTTTACTGTTTCGCTGTAGCGGCCATATGACCTCCTAGCGTAGTAAAAGTCCTTTACGTAGGCCACTAAGGTCGAAGACACAGAATCGGCGTCATCTTCTCGCCGATTCAGCAGCTGCTCAAAAGTCATACAGTGGTTTCCAGGGTGCCACTGCTCAAAAGCATCCAACAACTGCTCCCGCCAAGTCCTCGTCGGAGGGTGGAGAACTTTGTCAGCAAGCAAAGTAAATCCTGCTCGGCGGTGTGCCTTTCAGTTTCCAGCCCCTACCAACTTCAGGCGTGATGCATTGATCGACGTGTAGGGCTGAACCTGTAGGGAATTTTGATCAGGCACTATCTGGCCGAACTGGTCGTTCTCATAGTCGACAGGACCTCTTCCATAGGAATCTCTGAGCAGCAAATTTGACTGCGAAGCAAACTCCTCAAATTCTTTCAAGTGAGCAATGAATTCAGGGATTGACCGTCCTGGGGCAAATGGAAAGAAAAGCCCAGGAGTATCACACGTAGTCATAAGCACCCAGAGCCAAGACTGAACGGCTCGCTGCACAGTATTTGGGCGCCTTCTGAGCAGGTCGACATCGACAGAGGATGGTCCACCATAGATGAAGTTGAGGGCGACAATCACAAAGTGTAGCAACCTCTTCCTCAAAAGGCAAAACCATCTCCTCTTGGAAAGCTGAGGGCCGCTGCACGCCAAGATGCCAGAATCAGCAAAGAGCAGCGGAAAGACCACGGAATCTGGAGAAGGTTCCCGAGGATGAAGGTGAAAAGTCTGCGCATGGAACTTTGCAAAAGGCGTACGGGTCGACAGGATCCGTCTCGGAAGAGCTGCAATGACCCGTGGAACGGATGAGGTAGCATCAGTAAGCTCAGCTACAGGAGTGGTCAGCAAACCTGCAGGGTGTGATGTCGTAGGAAAGGAAGACGTCATTGTTCTCCCTCCTCTTGCTGATCTCCCTTTTTCTTCCAGCTTCCCCTTGGCTGGCGCTTTGGCGCTCTTTTTAGGCTGGTAGATGAGCTTGGATCCTCTTTCGGTGTCCGCTGAATATTCGCATCTGCGCGTTTTGAAACTATCAGGTCGAGCTCCTTGATGTAGCTCAGTGCATTGGTAATCCACTTCTGATCCGCCAAAGGGGCAAAAGCTTTTCCCCGTGCATAGCCTGCCAAGTTCCGGTTGGTGAAGACTCCAGCCGGCGGATCCTCCTGAAGGGCAAGCAGCAGACCTGTGTCCATCCTCCCAGAGTCCAGGCCAGCTTGCTCCAGGCAGACTGTGAGAAGAGCCGCGCCATCCTTGGCAGCTCCAAGATTCTCGTTCTGGAGGTGGTCTAGGATCAGTGCAACTTGCCACATAATATGACCCAATTCCCTGCTCCTCCCATAGCCTCCAAACCTCTCCACATAGTGGGAGGCAACCACCCCCTGCGTCCCAAATCCATTGGGCTCATATCTGCAGGCTGAGAAGGTTGCATTCGGCGGGCCATCATTGAAGAAGGTTCCTCGATGAAGGGCCAACTCCTGCTGAAGGCGGGCTCTGCCTTGGGCTCCTTTGATGCTCATACCAAAACTGCCACTGCTCTCGACCCCAAGGTCCCCTGTGGCCATCTGTTGCACCAGAGTAGAGAGTGCTTGGCTCTGGGCCAAAATAGCCTTGGTCAACTCCCAAGAGCTCTCTTCCTCCTTTTCCTTCTCCAACTCCTTCACCTGAGCGGCCACACCTGGAGCTTCCATCACAGAGGTGCCAGGTTGACGGGTAGGTGTACGGGTCGAGGTACTTCTCGGAGCTGGCATCTCCTCCAGAAAGGTGGCTAGCCTCCTGAATGGAGAATGCAATCCACCCGTAGTCAAATCTCCAAGTGGCTGACGCAGGGCTGAGGGTCTTGACGGGTTGGTGGCCAACTGACCCTTCACAACCTCTGTCCTTTGACACAGTAGCTTGTGATCTCCTCCATGATCTGTGGAAGTGCCTGACTCATCGACTCGAGGGATGAAGCGAGGCTGTTCACAGTTGGGCGGGTCTTTTTGGGCATCGACCATAGGGAGCTGGCTGACCCTCTCGGGATTGAAAGCGTGGATCATCTCGATGGAGTGGACTCCGGGGTTGAAGGGCGACAAATGGTCCCAAATATCTCGGGTCACATCCACTAGGACTACATCCACTATAGCATCCGGAACTTGTACAGGCGGGTCCCGACCAGATAGATCGTCGACTTCGCCTGCAACGACAGACAAAACTGTAGACTGACCACTGTGAGATTGGCTTTGTCCTTCCCCTGGCCTGGTTTGGGTCGAAAAACTGAAAACTGTCTGTTTTCAACTTTTTACTTTGATATTGAAAAACGGGACACCCAGTTGATGGAATTAGGTTGAATTCAGAGATTTAGGGTTCTACACATTCCTAAATGAAAAATGATGCTTCGATTATCTGAAACTGTTCCTTTTGCCATACCTCAGGCGTCACTTTTCTAACCCAGGTTTTCCCACCCAATTGATGGCGCTTTTTCCAGCTGAACTGGTGAGCGTTGTGCACAGGTAGTCTTAAGATGTACTCTGCTACCTACAAGAAACTGGCGCTTTGGGCGGCGCAACCCGCTCTACGCGGATCTTCCCGCTTGGCAACAATGCGGAACTCCCCGCAAGCAAAAACTTGCCCAAAACCATTTGGATAGGGTAGAGGCAGATCAAGTTTTTATCTTTCTGGAACTTGCTTTCTCTTGGGCTTTTGCTTTGGGATCAGCTTTGGCTTTTGCCTTTGCCTTGGCCGCGCCTGCTTTTTCACCCGCATCATCTGGAGCTGTTCTTTTCTGCGGCAGGCCTTTCCCATCTTCGTTGACAACCTTCGAAGCCGAATCCCCTGCCTGGGTTTTCGGCGGATCTACGTTTCCGCTGTGTTTTGGCGCTTCTTCTGGTCTCACTTCCGCTGCGGCTGTTTCTGCGGCTGCTGCTGAGCTCCCCGGTTGTGGCGCGTCAACCTTGATTGGAACTTCTTCTTCTGCCTGAGGCGCAGTGGTGGCCGCAGGAACCTTGGGAAGACATGGGCTGACGACTGCCTCGGCCTCTGCCCCAGATTCTGCAGCGGCAGTTGGGACCACCGCTGTTGGAGTGGCTGCTGCATTTTGGTGGAGTTCGCCACCGTTGGGCAAGGCTCGCTCTTGCTTGGGTCCTGTGCGTTTTCCGCAGTCTTTTCCTTTTCTTCAGCCTCAGCCTTTGCTTCAGCCTCAGCTTTTTCCTGTTCTTCAGCCTCCGCCTTTGCTTCAGCCTCAGCTTTTTCCTTTTCTTCACCCTCAGCCTTTGCTTCAGCCGCAGTCTTTTCGTTTTCAGTCTCAGCTTCAGCGCCCAGTGCTGCTTGCGCTTGCTGTCCTGGGCTTGTGACCTCGTTGGTCTTCACTATTTGGCCCTTGTGGCGTTCCTCTTCCAGGTCTTCTTCCATGGGCTCGATGTCCATGTCCTTTTTATCGGCAGTGGCAGCGGCCTCCGGTTGAGGCTCCTTTGCACTGCCGTTCTCAGGCTGCTCTTCATGATGCTCCTTTTCAGCGTCACCATTTGTGGGCAGCCGCAACTTCTCAGACTTGTAGGCGGG